GACTGTATTCTTTGTATTGCATTGTACATTTTTTGAGCTGATGGTATGATTCCCAGCTTGAGGCAACAGACCCCGACTAGCTCTGATCGAGCTACTGTGCTAAAAACAGAGGGTAAACACAATGACAGACTGGCCTACCCTCCAGAAATATACACCCATCAGATACTTGAATTCAGGCCTGTGCAAAATATGGCCTGTGGGCCATATCTGGCTCATCAAACCACTGGATCCGGCCTGCGGATGCAGTGGGGAGCCCCAGGCAGGCTCCCTGCTTGCCTTGCTCTACTTGCACGCCGCTCAGAAAAGCGGCTGCCAGGCCATTTCTCTTTCAAAACTGTGAGCCTGGAGTTGGGGGGGGGAAGGCTTCAGGTTGCCTCTGCTCCCAGCACAATTCCATTGGCCAGTTTCTGGTCAAAAACAGGCCAATGCAAGCTTCCTGTTTGAATAACAGGCAGCCACAAAGCACCACGCCCCATCCCATCCCACCCCACGCATAGTTATTCACACATGCACATGGGCCTGCAGCCTGTGTGGGGGTGGAACAGGCTGTCTGGCTGGCTGCCTGAGGAACATGCTGGGCTGCTGTCTGGGAGTCACCCAGGTAAGTCTCCTGGCCAGAGTCTGCTTCTGACATGCCAAGCCCTCTGTTCCCCAAAACTCTGCCCCCTACTTCTGCCTCCCTACTCCACATATCCAAATCCTCTGCCCCCATCCTGCACCCATATCCCCTCCCAGATCCGGTACCCCAATCCCCTGCCCCAGATCACAATCCCCTTGTGCCCTAGGTCACAACTCAAACCCCTGCACCCCAGTCCAGTGACCCAGGTCACAACTGCCTTCTTCACGCAACCTCCATCCCAGACCTCATATCCCCTCCATTAATATCATGGAACAGTGTGGCCCTCAACCACTTTCCAAATTCTTGGAGTGGCCCCTCCATCAAAAATTATTGCCCACCCCTTCTCTAAGGGGATCTCTACACTACAAGGGTATTTCAAAATAAGTTATTTAGGAATAATAACTCGTGGAAGAACTATTTTGAAATAGCATGTGTACACTACAGGGAAGCCTCAAAATTAGTCTAAGGCAGTATCCCCTAATGTGGACATGCTACCTCAATTTAGAGCCCCAGGAAGTATGGGGGAGTAATCACTTTGAATAGCCTGGGGAGGGGCTATTTCGAAATAGCAGCAGTGGAGCATCCATACTACAATAAATTGGTTTTATTCCTAGTGGGGGTTTATTATTCCGGAATAAGAAGCCTGTTATTTCGAAATAATGTGAGTTGTTTCAAAATAACGCTGTAGTGTACACATGCCCTAAGCATCTATTCAGGGCAGCTATCCCCTCTTGCTACTATAGCTACACTCCTGTGATAACTTCATCAGAGCTTTTGCAGGCATGTTGACGTAAGCTGGGAATCAGCCCCGCATCTTGTATCATAGACTTACCCATGGGCTTATAAATGCCCAGCACAATAGAGCCCCAAATCTAAGTAGGACCTCTGGGTTCAAATTTAATAGCTAGTAAGAAGTATTGATGAAAAACAACAATCTATGTAGGAACATATATGACATAAATTAATATAGAAGTCAATTGGTTTTATTTGTCTTTTATTGTCTATTTGTTATTCTGTTCTATATAGTAGTTAGTGATGATGTACAATTTTTTCAGCCTACTAATTTATAGTTTTAGAGTAATTTAAAAAGTAAAAGACTGACTGCCTCAAGTTAGCAATTCTAGAAATGGAAGAGGTTTTTTTTATTGATTAGATTATTTTAAGACTTTTAAAAAGTTTTTCATAATTCCTTTTGTGCTCATGTTTACAGTATAGGAATTAAAGACTGACTCAGATTTATACTGACGTTTAATTTTTTACGAAGTTTGTACTACGGTTCTTATAGTTGCTCCTGTTTTTTAAATTAAGGTGCAAGAAAAGAAGAATAAAATCAGAGCAGATATATTCAGATAGTGATTTGAAATTGCTTTATAACTGTAGCCTAAATAGAGGCAGGCTTCTATGATGAATAATTGAGGTCAGTTTTATTTAGCCTTCTGCTTCAGTGTTGAAAACTTTCATGAAAACTTGGAAGTTTTTTCTGTTCCTTCCAAGTAAAATCCCTTTGCTGCAAATCACTTTTATAAAGTCTTATAAAATATATCGCAGCTGTAACTGTTACGTTCCTTTTATATTATATTAAAAAAAAACAGAATTCATGCCATTTTCTTTCTTCAAATATGTGTGCTTATTTTCATGGCCATATAAATAATTTGGAGTTCTAGGTCTGGATTTAACTACAGAATACTGAAGTAATAAAAACAAATACCATCTGTGTAAGCTCTCAGTAAAATTAGTCATGCAGAGTTGGTTTTGTATAGTTTTGCTTAGTTCCCCTGTTGATACAAATATTTTTGTTAGATACTGTGGATTTGTTTTTAATAAATAATACATTTGTGTGGTTTTTTCTATTTTAAATTGACTCTTGACATAGTTATATATTTCCAAGTTGACAAAACATGACAAGTATCCATTTCTCACTTACTGTCTTTATTATCTAAATTTTAAATCTTATTTATTGTGTGTGTATGGCTATAACAGCATCTGCTAGGAGTTTGTTTAAATTGAGTTTTCCAACGTAAGTTCTCTAGACATTTCTGGAAATATTCTTGCACAGTATCAAGTAATGTCCGCTTTAAGAAAAGTTATTGGCTATTGTAAAATGGTGGAGTCAATGCGGAGAGCGCATTCACAAGCAGTGTAGGAATTCTAGGCCTGGGGCTGTTAGGAGCCCAGTGTGTTGTGGAAGTGATGTGTACAGTTTCTTTGAAAGTAAAGCCCTAACTTCATTTCTCCAACAATATCCACCTACCGGCTGGTTTTGAGAATGCTGCTTGCCGGCAGAAAGGAAAACATAGCACCCCCCCCCCCAAAAAGACCAGGAAGCAGCATAAAGACTTTGTAGTGACAGGGGAACAATGTAAGCGTGTATAAGCTGTGGAATGTTTCAGAGGATTCATTGCTTTTCTTTTGTGTGTGTGTGTGTGTGTGTGTGTGTGTGCGCGCGCGCGCATTTTTTGTTAAAAAAATGAAACATTAATTTATTCAAATAAACTGAATTGAATTACTCCATTAAAGCAAGTACTTGGTATTAGGGATGTAAAATCCCATTTAATCAGTTAACTGCATGAAACCTTACGTTTAGTTGATTAACTGATTTAAAAGGGGTGGGCAGAAGGGAACTGCTGGAGCCCCTTCTTCCCTTCCCCCCCTGCCTGCTGCAGCTGGCCTGGAGTGCCCCTGATCAGAGGAGCCCCCTGCTTGGCAGGTGGATGGGGCGGGGGGGCTGGAGCAGCTCCCCCGCCCCTGGATAATATGTTAACCATTTACATCTCTACGTGGTATTTGATTTAATGTGATTAGACTTGCACTTTTGGGGGATAGTCTCATATTTATGGAGCAGCTATGACCATTTTTGGAAAACTTTATCATAATTAAAATTTACTCCAAACCCTCATATCATCCCATTAGAAGATAAATTTCCAGTATATGTCACATTCTTGGAATTAGCAAGCTTATTGTATAAAGCAGATATCTAAGGGTACGTGTACATAGTAGCTTGTACCTTGAAATAAGCTATGCAATTTGAGCTATGCAAATTGCGTAGCTTATTTTGAAATTTGGTACTGTCTGCACAGCACTTATTTCAAAATAAATCTCTATTCCATTGATTTCCTTAATCCTTGTACAACAAGGGTTTTAGGAAGTCGGAGTAAGAAGCCCATTATTTCGAATTTATTTAGAAATAACGGGCTTCTTGTGTAGACAGTGCATAACATTATTTTGAAATAATGAACGTTATTCCAAAATAATTCCGCTATGTATACATACCCTAAATGTTTGATGTTCGCTTTATCAAAGAAATGGGCGTGGAAGAGAAAAATTTAGCTAATTAGTACATTTTACACAATTAGCACCAAAAATAGTGCTCCCCTCTTCTCAGGAAAGATGTAATAGCAGCAATGAAGTCTCATGTTACTAAGGCTTCATTATTTTACCAGCAATGGGGAACTTTTTTTGTCTTGGAGGCACTAAGCCACAGAAACATCAGTCTGGGATTAACTCTTCTAAAGGCCTGGGGCTAGTGGATTTTGTGGGTGCTGGATCTCTCTGGTGGGGCAAAAAATTAGGGGTTCAGTGTGTGGGAGAGCTGCCAGGGAGCGGTCTGGGGTCTGGTGGGAAGGAGGGTGCAGAAGCAGTCTGGGGTAGGAGTGCAAGATCTGGATGCCAGGGAGGGTGCAAGAGTGGGCTGGGAGTGGGGATGTGGAGTCTGGGCAGGAGGTGGGGCACAGGAGCACGGTGAAGGGGTGGAGTCTGGAAGGGAGGGGGGGGGCAGGAGCAGGCTGGGGCGGTCTGGGCGGCAGGGGTGCAGGGGATTGGGGCACCTAGCTGGGCAGCTCCCAGGAGGGCACAGGGGTCTTTGCATGGCAAAGTGCCCTCTGCAGCATGCAGAGCTGTTTCCTCCCCTTGCCAGGCAGAGCCCACTGTGAGGGAACCCCAAGCCTTGCAGACTGCATCCAGCTCACAGGCTGTCGTTTCCCCCACCCGTTTTACGCAGCATGTTCCAGCCACTTACCCAGTATTTTTGAAGTGTTATAAAATTAAGCTACTTTTGTCAAAATAAAAGAACAGTGTATTGTGTGGTACAATTTCCTTGTTTTTATAAACTCTTTAATTTACATATAATTCAGTAATTTTTGCAATAGATCCTCCACTCATTGGTGTGAATTAGCAAAATTCAGCTGTAGTCTGAGGTTTGTGAGAAGACACCTGGCACTTCATTAGGAAGCATGTGTGAAGGATAACAGGCCAAGATTGCATTGGGGTCAAATGGAGGAGTAAAGTTTAGGGAGTGCTTGCATTTGTATAGGCCTTTTTTTCCACAGCAGATATGTCTAAATAAAGTTCTGACTGAGTGAGTGAGTGTGATAAATATAACAAGATAAAATTAAACTGGGAAAAGAGAGAGACACGGAACAGTTTGTGAATAACCCATTTATCTTTTGTTTTCTCTCTGTCCCTCTCGATAGCTATGACAGGGGTTCCACATTCAATGTGTTTGTGGGAAAAGGACAGCTTATTGCAGGGATGGACAAAGCTCTGGTTGGAATGTGTGTGAACGAAAGACGTTTTGTGAAAATTCCACCCAAGCTTGGCTATGGGAGTGAAGGAGTTTGTAAGTACAGCACCAAAGTTATAAATAATTTGGTTGCATGGGATATAGGAGATTTAATTAAATTGATAAAATTAAGATTAGAAAAACATTGTAAAAATTGCACTTGATTTGATGATTTTTTTGGGTGGGTGAGAAGGTAATTTTCAGACACTTGCCACTCAGTTTTGGACTATTAAAATGCAGGGGCTTCATCAGTGAAGTCCAGGGCCAGTGTCATGGTAGTAAGACAGCTTCACTCTGCAGTCTTTGCTAGACACACACAGACAACACTGCATCAGCTCATATTTGTTTGGAAAGTTGTATTCACAACACTAAAAGCTAGAAAATTATTCTAAAAATGAGGGTTCCACTTAAAAATCCATCTTTTATGTGAATTTTGGTTTTACAAAAGCGACGAGGAGTCCTGTGGCACCTTATAGACTAACAGATTTATTGGAGCATAAGCTTTCGTGGACAGAGACCCACTTCATGAAAAGTTATGCCTAAAAAAGCTTATACTCCAGTAAATCTGTTAGTCTATAAGGTGCCACAGGACTCCTTGTCTGAATCTGCAAAAGCGACTAACACAGCTACCCCTCTGGTACTTGGTTTTACAAGTTATTTTTAGAAGTGACACCTTTGTTTACTGTAACTGGAAAAGATTAAAAAAAGATGCTTTGATCCTGCAATCAGTTAAACATGTAAAACATTCCCTTTGACTTCAGTGGGAACACTCAGATGTGGAAGTACTTAAGATTAGGGCCTAAATATTTTTCTTTAGGTTTTTAATTGCTTAGTTTTTGATTGTTTGACTAGCATATTTGACAACATTTCTTATATAGTCAGTTTCTCTCTTTTTGTGTGGTTTTTCACTCAAATACAGGAGAGAGGGAACATTAGACCTACATCTAGTCTAAATAATATTTAGTCCTGCCATGAGTTCCCTTCCAGTCCTATGATTCTATAATTTAAATTGAAAAATAAAATGTTGAAAAATCACAAAAACTGGTATAAGACTCAGAGCCAGTGTTACTCCCTGAAGTGACTTTTAACGTAGGAATTTCTTTTTTACTTACTACAGTTCAAGTTGACTCTGTCCTTGTACAATCCAATAGAATTGAACAAGTAATCCCCCAAGTTCCTCAAGGAAAGCTTTTTATTTACCGTTCGTTTATAAGATTTTCAATTCCCAAATGGAGGAGAGTATCAAATAGTTTCTTGGGGCTTGAACTCATAAAGTGAAAATGCCCTCGTCTCTGACAAAGACAATGGAATTTCATAGGGATTGAGAAGATCAGCAACATTCTGGATTGGGTATTTATCAAAAATTTAATTTTATTCCTTGTTTTGTTATCTTGGAACAGGGATGTAAAATCCCGTTTTACTGATCAAGCATGATGTTTGACTGGTTAACCAATTAAAGGGCAAGCATGGGGGGAAGGAGGGACACACGTTCCAGAATGCCTTTCCCCCTGCACCATGGCCAGGTTGGAGTGGCCTGGAATTGCTGCATACAGGAGCTGTTCCTGTCAGCTGGAGCAGATCCTACCTGCAATGCTCTGAATGGCTGAAGCAGCCACCTGCCCACGGTGGGCAGGGAGCTGCTCTAGCTCTCCCCAGCTAACCATTCACATCCCTACTCTGGAGGTATAATTAAGTTATAAAATATAAAGATATAAGATTGTAAATAAATATAAATGTATTGTTTGGAAAACTTCTGTGTGGGTGGCAGATGTCTGATGCTTTCAGTGGCCTAGGTAAAGTCAGATGATTTTATATTAGTTTGGTAACTTGTGAAAGGGTAGGATGATAATGATTTGAACTTTTTTTTGTGTTTTTGCAGCTGGCGTAATCCCCCCAAATTCAGTGCTTCATTTTGATGTACTTCTGATAGATCTCTGGAATTCTGAAGATGAGGTTCAGATTCAAACTTATTTCAAGCCTGAAAAATGTCCTCGGACAATCCAGGTATCTGACTTTGTAAGATACCATTACAATGGAACTTTCTTGGATGGGACTCTGTTTGACTCAAGGTGAGGAGTTGAATTCATATATTTCCCAGCAGGGGAATCCCTGGTGTCAGCAGGCATGTGGCTGAGGATCCTAGGCCCTGGCAGGGAAATCCTGAGGGGCTGGAGAGGCCAGGCAGGGGAACCCCCTGTAGCAACAGCGGGGGCGAGCCCCTGCCTGCTAGTGTATTGTGGCAGTATGCGGTGCCCTGAGGAGAGGAGTCGGCAGCAGGGGAGTATTGACCTCCCTTGGTCCAGCAAGCTCTCTGGTCCAGGACTGCTCAGGTCCCGAGGGTTCCGGACCAGGGAGGTCCAACCTGTATTGATATTTATATGTGATGCTAGTTTTATGTGCAAAACTGTGCTGGGTTGTTAAAGAAGGTAAAGTATCTCCTTTTTGGGAAGCCTTCCAATGTGTAGTTTTCCATCAGAGGATTGTCTAGAATATTGGCAGAACTTTATGTGACGCTTGTGCACTGAATGCTAGGCAGGCTGTGGCCAGTGCAATTAATCCCATGCTTTCAAGAGCCAAATCTGTTTCGCAGAAAAATTTTGTGCTGCCAGTGTCTTACAAAATCGAGGCTATTAATAAATTGTTTGATTAGTACATATAAAGGCTTCCACCAACCTATTTATTTTTAATATTTCCTAGCACATTTGCTTGTATATGTATTTACCAGCATCTTCTAAGGGATCAAATGTCAGAGTTGCCAAAGTGTGTGTGTGTGTGTGTGCGTGTGTGTGTGTGTGTGCGTGTGTGTGTGTGTGTGCGTGTGTGTGTGTGTGTGCGTGTGTGTGTGTGTGTGCGTGTGTGTGTGTGTGTGCGTGTGTGTGTGTGTGTGCGTGTGTGTGTGTGTGTGCGTGTGTGTGTGTGTGTGTTTCTTCCCTTCCAAAGGCTTGTACCACTAATGCTGAAATATAACAGAGGGTAAAATTTTCACAGGTGTTTACATCCTATATTGAAAACTCAATGAAGCACTTAGGCTTTTAAATCTGACTATCAGATTAACCTTCTAAATTACATTTGAAAAAGAATTTAAGCTTCTAAATCATTTAGTCACGTTGGAAAATGTTACCTCGAATGTCTCCATCAGATGCCTGTGTTTTTGGAACAGAAAGTTGTAAATTATGTTCCTTGTGCAAAATGTGAAGTGAACTCTAGTGACTGACTGTGGTGCACCTATGTGTGTAGGCCTTTGGGTTATTTTCCTTATTTTTATTGGCTCTGTGATATTAGCTTTTTCTGTTTATTTCTTTGTTTTATTTTTTAGCCATAATCGGATGAGAACTTATGACACATATGTGGGAATTGGATGGCTGATTCCTGGTATGGACAAGGGTCTCCTGGGAATGTGTGTAGGAGAAAAGCGCATCATTACAGTACCTCCTTTCTTAGCATATGGAGAAGAAGGAGATGGTAAAAATATCCTTATCCCCTCTACCCTCCCCAAACTCTCCATTTTCTAACACAAATCTTTGCATTACATAGATAGCATTGTGAAAGCACCATTATTTCAAATTATATGTGGATGGAAAATACATTTAGAAAAATAATTCAGGATGTGGCTTATCACCATAGTTAGGGATGTAAGCAACTAGTCGTCTATCCAATAAAGCATAAGGTTATCGGATATTCGACAAGTGATACTAGTTCCTCCCCCTTGTTGCCTCTATCAGAGGGGCAGCAGGGGGGGGGAGCGGGAGCTGGTTCTGGGGAGAGCCAGCTTAAAAAGTCTGTTCCCCCCAGCACTGTCTCGGTGAGGGGCAGCAGAGAAGGAGGCACAGTGGGAAGTGACGTAAGCAGGGACTGAAGCAGTTTCTGCTTCTGCCGCTTCTGCTGTGATTCTGCTTTTGAAATGTACAAGAGCCCCAACAGGCGCTGCAGGGAGCATGGGACCAGCGGGGAAGTCCACACTGTCCCTGCTCTCCCTGCCAGGCTTCTGCTTTTGAAATATACAAGAGCCCCACTGAGGCTCTTCTATGTTTCAAAGGCTCAGGCTCTTCAGGAAGTATGGGGCCAGCCTGCTTGCTAGCCCTGTGCTCCCTGAGGGGCTTCTGCTTTTGAACTGTAGCAAGAGCCCAGCAAGGCTCTTGCTACAGTTCAAAGGATGAGGTGCCCTTATAGACTAATCAAATAACTGATGGAAATCCAATCAACTATTTGATTAGTTAATTAATCTAAATTTAACATCCCTAAGCAAAGTACAGATATTTTTATATGTCATGAATAGTAGGCTGGTTTATGAACAGAGGATTGCTTAGTATTGATTTAATGTGTGTGTGTGTGTGTGTATTATATACATACATACAGATAATTTTTTTCTATGAAGAATAAACTCCCTATGCTTCTTAAACTGGATGTCTGGTGCTTCCTTATTGCTTCTAGACAACTGCCACAGCAATTTGATTTCTCTTAATAAATGAAAAGTCATCTTAGAGTTCCTGGTTTCTGTTTATCTCTTGTTGCTTGTCGCAATAATAGCAGTCCATTGTTAGGCTGCTTCCTGGTCTGGACTCCACTGACATATATATCTCAACCAGTGTTTGTGAATCCATGCACATCTCTGCTACTTCATAAAAAATATTTGAAAATCAGTTCTGGAATTATCGTTCTGGATCAGACTCAAAGTCCTTTTTATCTAGTACCCTGTCTTCAACAGTATATACCACATCTTCAAAGAAAGAGGCAAGAATGCTGTTGTAAGGCAGATATGAGGCACCTGACTCCCTACTTTAGGTCTTACTCTGATAGGGTATGTCTACACTACCCCCCTAGTTCGAACTAGGGGGGTAATGTACGCATACCGAACTTGCTAATGAAGCCCGGGATTTGAATTTCCCGGGCTTCATTAGCATAAAGCCGGCGCCGCCATTTTTAAAAGCCTGTCTACACTACCCCCCTAGTTCGAACTAGGGGGGTAATGTACGCATACCGAACTTGCTAATGAAGCCCGGGATTTGAATTTCCCGGGCTTCATTAGCATAAAGCCGGCGCCGCCATTTTTAAAAGCCGGCTAGTGCGAACCCTGTGCCGCGCGGCTACACGCGGCACGGGATAGATAGTTCGGATTAGGCTTCTAATCCGAACTATCTGTATGCCTCGTGGAACGAGGTGTACAGATAGTTCGGATTAGGAAGGATGCAAGGATGCAACCAGGACATTTGGCCTAGGTCAACTGACTTGTTCTTGCTCATGGAGCCAGAGGGAGCTGGGGGAGCCTGAACGTCTATATTGCTGTTTCATAGTCCCTGGCTACGTCTACACTGGCCCCTTTTCCGGAAGGGGCATGTTAATTTCAGCTATCGTAGTAGGGAAATCCGCGGGGGATTTAAATATCCCCCGCGGCATTTAAATAAAAATGTCCGCCGCTTTTTTCCGGCTTTTAGAAAAGCCGGAAAAGAGCGTCTACACTGGCCCCGATCCTCCGGAAAAAGCGCCCTTTTCCGGAGG